TGTGTATGCATTGTAAATTTAAACTTAAATTAGCTATTTATCATATGAATGTGAAAGTCTGACCATGCAGTGGCCACTGCAGCTCCTGTTCCTCCAGAGGTGTGGCAGCCGGCAGAAGTCTGTTGAGACGGTCCAGAGGGGGAAGCAGGTCTAAGAGGTAGCTGAGCAGCGGCCGCGCCACCCAAACAGGCAACAACAGCAAAGAAGTCACAATCTGACACAGCATACTGCCCGCTGCAGACATGTAGATCACATCTACCACAACCAAGCACAGGGAAAAAATTAGCAGGTCCATTAACATTTAGATAATAAATGAGTTTAGCTTAAATGTGTGTGTACATTGATATACCTCGTAGCTTCTCACGCACGCTGCCATTTCCAGAGCTTTCTCTCAGAAGAGTTGCAGAGCGATTATAGATATCTGTAGCATGAGGCAATAATAACTGCAGGTGTTTGTGGAGGAGTGCCACACTACTGGAACTCTGAAAAACACAGATTAACATATGGAAGAAAATCAGCCCACTCAGACCCAATAAAATGCATGATCTTTCCAAGATGGAAATTTGTGTGTGGATATGTATTTGGTTGTGTATGTACCTCTGTAACACAGTTGATATGGCAATAGGCTAGTAGTTGCTTGTGCAAAGAGCAGAGCAGTTCATGGAGGTGAGCTGGTTGGCTGCTATCAGATGAAGATGTTCCCTGCAAGATCTTATCACTGTTCTTCTCCAGCTCTCCAAATGCCTGGTCCTGTTAGGTTAACACACATGCACACAGGAAAACAGGTTGAGAAGATAATCAGAAGTGTATATCAGATGTTGCATTTACACTGTAAGTGTAATACACATACAATATGGTGACCCATTTCCTTTTTATCCTCTTGAATCTGTTTACATTCATTTAAGATAGTGTTTACATTTTTACCTGACCAAGATGCACTAGGCTGATAAGAGCACTAGTGGAACCTCACTGAAAATAGCATAATTTGCATGCCCTTGCTCTCAAAAATATCGGGTTGACATTCACCACAGCAAATTAAATAATATTTTACCAAAATATACAGAGTATATATATAAAATATTTGTACGGCAAAATAATGGCAAAAAAACATATTTCTTTTGAGTCGTCTTTGTAGGTTGCATGCAGAAACAGGCAAGCGTATTGACTAACAAACACATGAGTCTTATGAGGTGATTAGTTTAATGAATCACAGAAAAAGATTCAAAAACTAGAGTCACTGGTATGGATCAGTCTGACAAATTGTTTTATTGTATGAATCAGTGGTCACTGAATCAACATCTGAGTCACTTACTAAACTGCACATTATCGTTACATTTAGTGATGACAGTCTCAAAATGAAGCAAGGACTTTTTGCTGTCTAAAAGTCTGAAACTTTTATTACTACTGACTAAATGTTTATATGGCAACATGATCATTTAACCTAAGCGTGTAAATCAAGATAAAGATAAAACAAAGCTGGCTGACAGCATAAACAGGGCCTCAAGATTTTAATCTGCAGAACTGACCGTATAAAAGCCCAGGTTCCTGAGTAAAGTTTTCATGAGGATCTCTGCCAAGTGTGTGTCAGGATGTGTATCAGAATGAGTGCCAGAAACATGCGTAGAGTCGGAGGGTAGAGCGGGAGGCTCAGAGGTGTCTGGAGGACAGCTGTACCCCAGCAGAGATGCCACATGGGTGTGATCCTGCAGACTAGTGAGGATTATGTCCAGCTGCATCCTCTGTGACAAAACACACAAAAGCATCTGTCATATGTGTGTAAGTTAACTTAAACTGTCTGCTCTTTACAAAGAGGCACAAACTCGTACCTGTCCTTTGGAGAGGCTCTCCCAGCGGTCTGGTCCTTGAGGAAGTAGCGAGTGCAGTAGCTCCATTCTTTCTCTCAGAGGAGGCAGCAGCATCGTCGCTCCCACGGACAGAGTCTCGATGACAGCCTACAAAATGCAAACATCGATCAGAGAAAAATACAGGCCACAGTAAACCATCACAGCAACAAATATGTGGAAAAACGCAAGCAAACACAGACCTCCTGGATTTCATCCGGCACTGACGCATCCATCAGTCTGAAAAGCAGATTACGGAGTGGCCGCGCTTGCCGTCCCAAGATACTGGTGGCCACTCCACCCGCCAGCGCTAGAGCCAGGTGATTGGACAAGAGCCGTAGACATAGTTTCAAGAAGTTATGATGCTCCCTGTTGGCCCAAAAACAAATTTACTCCCTCCATGGTGCAAGAATACACACACTTAATATTTAATAACCTTAAGGATGGTTTAGAAAATCAATTGAAACTTGATCTCAAATAAACAACATTAGCAGCAGCATTAATTCTCCAGTGACATTTAATGGATTTAAAAAACAAAGCAGGCTTCACTTGTCTATAGACCTTAGTCAGGTTAGACACCATATTGAATTTTACAGATGAAAATGAAGCTGTGAAGGAGATATTTACTGCCTTTACAATGGCACGGACTGTATAAAGGTCCTACATCAGCTCACAACTTTCAAAACTGTTTTATAGAGTTTCTGTCTAATTAATTTTGTTTTCAGAAAGCCATTCATGCTATTGTTAAACAACAGTGCAATCCATTCAATGCACTATACTTCTATTTCTCACAGCCTCATTTTCATTCCTGTCAATAATTAAATATGGTGCTACCCTGACTAAAGTCAATGGTGGTGGCAGAACACACACTTGGAAGATGGGAAAGGCAGCGGTGGGATCTCGTTGTAGATACCGTCACAGTATCGTTCCAGGAATGAGCGCAGGTGAGAGAAAGTGCTCTCTTCTAGGTCCACACAGTATGGCCTATGCCAGGCCACCACCTGCCTGTATACATACACATAAGATTAACATCTAAGTTATGGAAATATTGAGAAAATAAATAAATAAATAAATAAAACAAGACAAAGAAAAAAACTTCTTGCCATAGGAATCAACAAACTTAATGGCACAAATGCATATGAAATATATTGTGTATTTATGTAGGTAAAGGTAAAGATAATAAAAGGGTTTAACAGACTTGCTAACCTGTCTCTCGGGAGGGCAGTCCAAGCCAGGCTGTGTGAGGTGCCAGCAGAGATCTGCTGAATGGCCACTCCATCTAAACCAATCACCTTCTTGGGTTTGGTGATGGGGCCAGTGGAATTCCCTTGACCGCACTGACCCATTGAGTTATTCCCCCAGGCATACACTTCATTGTCTGTAACAAAAACATCCACAAAAAAAATTAAATGAAAGAGCAACTATTCAGCATATTAGCATGTAATTTTACGAGTCACATTTCAGTCTTATGCATTTTGAAAAGCAGTGTGACAGTAGCATGCCCTAAAAGATCACTTGACCATTTCGCAATGCACATGAACAGCACGTTCTGTTTAAGTACACAGCGTCAAATTGTCTGTGACATCGTGTGTGAGGCCCCCTTGCTTCACCTTATCTGAGTCTGACTCAGCACATACCCTTCTGCTACTAATCTGACCCCCTATCTCTCTCCACTATCACAAACTACAGTTCACACAACCCTTACGCTTACAGTACAGCCCAAAGACGACTCACAAAGCCAACGCACCTAATCACCAGCCATTGTTTACCGAGTTTACAATAGAATTCTATAATGCTTTATGCAATACACTGAAAGTGAAAATATTAAAGTGAGAATATTTAAGAAGGATCACAAAACTAACTGCACTGTATAGACCGTAGTCAGGTTAGACGCCATATTGAATATAACACAGATGGAAATGAAACCATAATTTTAAGATGTAAACCTGTTTTATGGAGTTTTTGTCTACTAATTTTTTTTTTTTATTAAAGCCATTTTGCCTGCTGAACAACTGGCATGCTGTTAAACAATAGTACAATCCACTGACAGCACTGTACTTCCATCCCTTACAGCCTCATTTTCATTTCATTTTCATGTTGTTTCACTACCAACCACTTAAGCATACCAGATAAAGCTATTAGTTTTGTGTACTCAATTCAGTGGGTTTGCAGTGATCCCTTACCATGTGATAAAGCAAGGCAGTGGCTGTCTCCTATGGAGATGTCTACCACTCTGGTTGTGGCAAGTTCCTCGACCAGTTTTGGCCTTAGCGCAGTAGCCTCCGATGAACCACAGCCAAGACACGCACCACAGCCCCAAGAGTAAACCTGCACAATAAACACAGATAACAGTGTGTTTAAAATGATCAATCAACATGAACTCATAATTGCCCCTAATTTTGTAATCTATCATCAATATGCCCTTTGTAAGGTTCCTAATATTGTTTCGGGAGTCTCCTACAACAGGTTTACATGCATGCAAGGTCAAAAAACACTTTTGTTTTCTCATAATATACATTCAATTTCACCACATTTCTCAATGATTCGTAAACGATTCACACGAAGCAGTTCTAAGATTCAGTCTATCTAAACCCCTCCTTTCCGTGAGCCTACTCTGCTCTGATTGGTCAGATGGCCCAGTCCTTTGTTACTGATCTAATGCGGACAGCGTGTATCAGAAACTAAACACCCATTGGCATAACTGAACGACAGCTCCGGAGAGAATGTATAGAGAGAAAAAATGGTATTGATTTTACCTTATAAAATCGAGCCAGAGTCAATGCTAAAACAATCATCATGATGATTCAGTTGATCAACCAGACACTGATTCGCAAGCACGACTGAAGCAGGATGTTTCTCAGTGGTAAGTGTCAACTTAGTTTGTGGTAGTTATAAGACGTGAATGCAGCGTCATTGTTAGAATTTATTTAGGTGCACGACATGTGTGGGAACTGTATCAGAATGCCAAGAGAAGGTGAAAACCTCTGCTGCCACGAAGTACGACAGGTAGTATTATACATTTCTGCATTAGTTGAACATTATTACTTTCACAGCGTAGGACACAGCTTCTTCTCGACATGATGTTTACCACACGGAAATGCTACACTGTTTCATGGCACTGTTCGCGGCCTGCCAATGTAGAACAGGCAGGCATTATGCAAATGTGTTACCCAGTGACGTGTAGCCATCACGGAAGTTGGATTCGAATTCCTGAAGTCTCTTTTAGGTGATTCAGAGTCGGTTCTTTTTTTGAGAGACAATAACTTTATTTACTGTGCACTGTCGGCTTCACAACTTTGCAGGTAGTTTACATTCACATACAGCTACATTTCACAAATGGAATAATAGGGGCACTTTAATAATTTCTGGCTTAGCAATGTCTCATACCTGACCAGTAGAGGTGAGGGCCAGAGATGACTGGCTGCCAGCACATACTTTGCGAATGAACATTCCCTGGAGAGCTTCCACCACCTTGGGTTTATACACACGATTGGTATCACCATGACCCAGTTTCCCTGCAGACAAACAAATACTAAGGTGTAATTGTCTTCCATAATCTTTATTATCACATATACAGCAACTTCACAAACAATAATTACTAGATGTGCACAAAGTAGAGAAGGCAACTCAAGCACATCTAGATGCAGCTGCTGGCTTAAATGCATAGTGAGTGCCTGACACCATGTAAAGGACTGTCTCAAATGTCTCTTCAGTAGAACAAGTGGTGTAGGTTAACTCACCATTGTCTCCACCTCCAAAGGACCAGACTGTACGTCCATCTTTAGACAGCGCAATGGTGTGGGAGCTTCCACAGGACACCTCACCTACATTACTGATGTCTTTAACTAGCGTGGGAATGTTCCTACTGTTACTGTCGCCATGACCTACAAGTGTAGACAAACATAATCAATGATACACAAACACACAAATGTCAACACAAAATGGAGCAAGATAAAATATTATGTGCATTAGTTAACAAACAATTTTATTTTAATCACGACAAGTTTTAGCATTTTAATGGATATGACAATGTTAATGTATTTGGTCTTAGCAGACTAGGTCCGCTACGCTCACTGCTGCTGCAGAGCAAGTATGGACTCACTACTGCCAATCTGTTGGCATGCTGCTGTGAGCACATAAGATATGCTACTACTGCATAAATAGGCATACATAAAATCCTTAGCAGATCTAGACAGGTGGAGCTGGGCGAGGTGGAGGATTTCAGAGGAACTCTGATAGCACGCTGCAGGACCAGCTTACAGTGAACACTGAATCAGACTTTTTAAATGTTGAGCAAGTAAGCTAATTGGCTGTCAACTGCAGGCCAATCCCTTTGTGCCACGTAATAAATTATGTGATTGCTAAATATATATACAATTATATATAAAGACTAAAGACATACTTTTCAGCATTTATTTGATAAAAAAAAATGCAGTAAAAAGAGTACTATAGCAAAATTGTATTATTACCTAAAGATAAACATTTACTATTTTAATATATTTTAAAATGTATTTTATTCCTATGATGGCAAAGCTGAATTTTCAGCAGCCATTAATGTTGAAACCAGTAACTTTTTTTTTAATGAATGTGTGTTATGAAAATAAAATATATATAGACAATTGCATACCTAATCTACCAAAGTCACCCTCTCCCCAGGTGTAGAGCTCTCCATCCTCACTCACTGCAGCGCTGTGTCTATACCCTGCTGAAACACAAACCACCACCTACAAACAAACAAACACAAGCAGTAGAAGACATTAATCATTTAAACACACAGATCCATTCTGAGTGTTCAAAAAGCTCAAGTGATGCATAACTACTGCATGAATATAGTACCTTTCCTTGTAGAGGGCCCTGTATCAGTTTGGGGTATTTCTGGGTAGAGCTATTGCCGTGACCCAGTTTGCCATAGTCTCCATCACCCCAGCTGAACACCTCTCCCTCGCTGGTGAAGGCTAATGTGTGCCCATCTGAGCCTTTGGATGATGAAACTTTCTTACTGGCACGGTGAGGTTCAAAGGTCAGCTTCTTAAGGGTGGACTGGTTGTTTGAGTCACCCAGTCCCAGGCGCCCATAGCTGCCCTTCCCACACGCTCGGACTGAACCATCAGAGGAGATGACAAATGTGCAGTACTGGCCAGCTTCAATCTGAAGACACGAGATGTAGTCAGCAAGCATCGATTGTGAGCATGAAGGGGGATACTAACACGGACACTGTATGAATAGTTAAAATGAAAATGCTTTCTACCGTTTGTGCATCACTGAAGCTGGGAGCGAGTTTGGGCTGGAGAATTTTCTCTTGAGTGCCCTCTACGAGCTGGTGGCTGCTGTTGCTGCCCCATACATAGACCTCACAGGTCTCAGATACCATGGCTGCCTCACCCGCCTGTATACTGTCTGGACTCGCACACGTTCTTGAGTAGTCTGAAGCCATGCGACACACCTATCATGAAACCGATTAAAAAAAAAGACAGTGTCAAACACATGGCCCAATTCTAGCCTACAGGATAATTTGAGAAAAATAAAAATTCTAATTAAAATTTGGTATCATATATATTCATAATTTTCTATTTTTTAGATACAACAGGACAGATTTGTTGTGCAGCATGTTATATCATGTATCTTAAAGCAGCAGAAATTCTCTTCTAGTTGTGCACAATGGCAGCTGAAACAGGATTTACTGGATGACAAGAGGAAATCAGAGGACAAATCACTCAAGGAAAATATATACTGTAAGTTTCAAGTCTGTACTGACACGCATTCATACATTAAAAGTCGTGGAAGTCGACAGGGAAGTCGTGGCCTAATGGTTAGAGAGTCGGACTCGTAACCCAAAGGTTGTGGGTTCGAGTCTCGTACCGGCAGGGATTGTAGGTGGGGGGAGTGAATGTACAGCACTCTCTTCCACCTTCAATACCACGACTGAGGTGCCCTTGAGCAAGGCACCGAACCCCCAACTGCTCCCCGGGCGCCGCAGCATAAATGGCTGCCCACTGCTCCGGGTGTGTGTTCACGGTGTGTGTGTGTGTTTACTGCTGTGTGTGTGCACTTTGGATGGGTTAAATGCAGAGCACAAATTCCAAGTATGGGTCACCATACTTGGCCACATGTCACGTCACTTTCACTTTTTCACATGAAGACTGATTCAATGAGTTTGACTGAAAAGCAGGCCTATAATCAAAATTATGGCAATGTTTGGTTGGAAATGGCCTATTACAGCTAAAGTGGTCCTGCCAAGAGCAGTGAGTGGTTTCTCTTTATTTGATTTATATTTATTTATAAACCATTTCTTGTATACAGTGATTCCCATTCATTGATTTATTTGTGGTGGCCTGCCACAATATCAACAATATAATAAATGCTATGTTAATTAACATTACATTATAAATAGACTTTATTCTTATATTGCAGTGGCCGTGTGTTTATTGTCTTCATGTTCGGTCATTTACAGCATTTCGATAGCTGGATGCCTTTGTCCATATTAGGAATTTCCTGGAACGTTCTATTACATCTGAGAGGCATATTTGGAGTTTCTGCACAAGGGCGCCCTCTGGCTTCCAGTATGAATAAAACACAGCCAACATTACATGAGTGTACTCACTAAAGCTCACACCACCCTATCTCCAGTGTTTTTTCCACCTCAAGGTTTTTTCATTAATGTAAAAATATACCTCATTGTCAGGTTCTAGCCTTGTTATGCTGTGCATGCTCTCTTCATAGATGAACCAAGATTTAATAATTACAAATAATTATCCTGCTGATGATGCTTAGTATAATCTGAAAAAGAGATTGGCTTAGGGGGTAACATAAAAATCTGAAATCAATACTATTTAAGAAAGGGCAGTTAGCTGCAAAGCATATGAACATAATCCCACAAAACCCCAACAGTATAATATTGTGGCTAAACTGATTTACATTTATTTTTGGTCCAGATTTGCATGTATTGTTTTAGTAATACATTGAACATTGGCAGCAGCTGCCTACCTTTCAAGAATGAGAGAATAAACAGAAAATAACAGACTCTTTTATGCTGACAAATTACATCACCAAATATTACAACTATTTCACTCTATTCTAGGTCATTACAATTGGTCAACTGGACTCCTGAGAACTTGAATAAACTGAATGTGTAAAATCCTTATGAAAGACATTCTAAATTTGAAACAAAACTAGGGTGATAACATTTAAAGTTTTGTTTTCTTAACCCGATAAAGCCTACGGTATCCTTTTTGAAACGTACAATTTTAAGGCCTCTACATTATCAACATGATAAAAACAGTACAGTCTACTACATGCCTTCTGTCTGACTAATAGTTTATACTTTTTTAGCCAGTTAAAGGTCTTTTAGTATCATTCTAAAAATGTCCCACTTCAGATTGTGGTACACGTCTTTTTGATGTGAAATCTTTACTATTTTTTATGAGGTAAAGGATCATATTTATATTGTAATATAAGTAATATTTCAATATGAACATTTACTGGACTGAAGCAAATTAGGTAAAAGGGTTATTTCACCCAAAAATGAAAATTAGCCCATAAATTACTCACCCTCAAGGCATCTTAGGTGTATATGCCTTTCTTCTTTCAGACGAATCCAGTTGGAGTTATATTAAAAATTGTCTTTGATCTTTCAAGCTCTATGGAAACACAGCGGAGAGATCAAAACAAAAAAACGGTCACGAATTAGAAGTACAAAACGAGGATTTGTAAAGAAGAATGTCAGAGGATTTCGATATAAGCCAAGAGGAGACTGGTTTTCCTTTGCTAAAGTAAGGAAACTTTGCTTCCTTTGCTCCTGTTAACAAACGTTGGTTTTCACAAGACTCACCGGCGCATGCGCAACGCTGACCTCATACGTCATCCTCCCGGAGCTGCTTCCTCGTACAACTGTTGGAGCAAGCTAGATTAACGTGATTATTATGTTTTGAATGTGGATATTTTTCTTACAAAAACGCATCGATTCGCTACAGGAGGCCTTTGTTCACGCCCCCCCCCCCCCCCGGAGCCGTGTGAGACACCTTTTTTTTATGGATGGGCGCTAGGGATGGAACGGTTCGCGGAACAAAATCAAACCGTACGGTTCTCCACACACGGTTCGGCACGCACTAGGACCGCGGTTCAACTTAAATCTGACAATGCATCTGTAATATGGTTTGCTATAAATAACACGTAAAACAAACAGGGTTCGGGCTAATGTATGTTTCTGTTGATGGAATGCGCATTCTGGCTTCCCAATACATTACAACAGCAATGAAGAAAAAAAAAAAAAAGAGGACGAACCATTCACTCTTGTTCAATGCGAATGCCGTATGCTGGAATGAGCATTCATTTATTCCATCATCACCCGGGTGCTGATAGCACGTGCGCACAGGTGAGACCTGAACAACACGCGTTGATATCTGTGTTTAAACTAAACTCATGGAAGCTTTGCCAGTTTAAACATTTAAAAGTCAGAGGACGCAAGCTCGCGCGCGCAGTGAGAAGATTTGTGCATGCGCTCATCCGAAGCGCGCAAACCCACGCCTCAGAACGCACGCAAATATTAAGCTTTCTCTGAAGTATTGTGTTTAAATGGTCAAATTCACACAAAATTATGTCAAAATGCCCATCTTGGTAAGTATCCTATAGCAGACATAGCCGGCTGAATACAAATTCACATAAAAATTGTCAAAATGCCCGTCTTGGTAAGTATCCTATAGCCGACATAGACGGCTGAACGTACTTACAGTGTCTTAAAGTGACAGCACATTCTTAATATTAATCAAACAGCAACAACAAAGAAATCACTCACTGCTCTTGATTGAATAGGTTTTGTAACTTTAATAAAGATTAATCTTTAATTTATACAGTCAAATATAATCTTTACTCTATTGTATCTATTTGTGCTGTTGCTTGTAGTTATATTATTAATTTTTTTTATTTTTATTTGACAGTATAGTTTTTCCCTAAACATAGCACATACCGAACCACAACGAAACCATGACCCTAAAACCGTGATACAAACCGAACCGTGAGTAAGTTGAACCGTTCCACCCTTAATGGGCGCTTTTTATTTCACTTCTTTTGGACTGAAGCACTGCAACACCCGCTGACTGCCATTAAACATCTTGAAAGATCAAAGACAATTTTTAATCTAACTCCGACTGGATTCGTCTGAAAGAAGAAAGTCCTATACACCTAGGATGCCTTGAGGGTGAGTAATTTATGGGCTAATTTTCATTTTTGGGTGAACTAACCCTTTAAGGATGATCCATACTTCATTTTAGAAAAATCACCTTAAAATCTATCAAATATTATACATAAGGCTTCTGAACGTTTATTTGTACATCTTTCAGTCATCATTGTTCTGCATTATATTTTACATATAAATATCAGCAACGGCACCAAATTGCATATTTTTGCTCAATTGGGTTTCTGAAAATGGTGATTTCGAGTGTGGATTCATATTCTCCAATATCATACTATATGAGCCACAAAAGCATGATGTATCAAATATGATACTAAACAAAAAAAAACATATGCAATTTTTTAGATTTTTTTAAAATATTTTATCTAAAGTTTTAATAAATAGCTCTATTTCTAAAAATAAATAAATAGATTTTCTGACTATTATTTATCATATCAGATTTTATTAAAGGGGTCATATGATGCTGCTAAAAATAACATTATTTTGTGTATTTGGTGTAATGAAATGTGT